ATATGTTAGTGCTTAGCAGGAATTTGCTTTTTAAATATATCAACATTTGTCCTTAAAAAATGACGTATTGGGTACTGTGCTTACTACCTCAGTAACAGAATCATTCATACTCAAAACCTTAGCATCACACAATATACCCTTGTGAAAAAATCTGCATAAGTACCTCATGAATCTAGAAAGAAGTTGAAATTATAAAAAAAAGCCATTCATCTATGGATGTTTACATTGTTCTAGTTTTTCAGTGAAGCTTCCATAGATATTTATAACTAAGTATTTGTGTAGACATATGTTTTCATCTCTCTTGTATAATTATCTAGAAGTTGACCTGCTGGTTCATGTGGAAAGTATATGTTTAACTTTGTAAGTTACAGCCAAACTGTTTCTCAAAGTTGTTACACTATCTTTCAGCCTTACTAGCAATGAATAAGAATTTTAGTTACTTCACATTCTCCTCAGTGCTGAGCACTGTCAGTTGAATTTTTTACCCATTTTATTGGGGGGGGTGATATGGTTAGGCTTTGTTTCCCCACCCAGATCTCATCTTAAATTGTAATCGCCATAATCTTCATGTGTAAAGGGAGAGACGAGGTGAAGATGATTGAATCACAGGAGCTGTTACTTCTATGCTGTTCTGATGCTGTATCTCAGATATATCTTTGATATATTTACAAAATGGAATCCTGCTAAGCACTAACATATAAATGAAGAGCCCTTTATAAAACCATCATACAATGAGTTCTCAAGAGATACACTATGATGGTTTTATAAAGGGCTCTTCCTTTTACCTAGCACTTCTCCTTCCTACCATCTTGTGAAGAAGGTGCCTTGTTTCCCCTTGGCCTTCCACTGTTATTGTAGGTTTCCTGAGGCCTCCCAAGTCACGCTGAACTGAGTGTCAATTAAACCTCTTTCTTGTCTCAATTACCCAGTCTCAGGCAGTTCTTCTTTATAGTAGTATGAAAACAGATTAATATAGAATGCAATGTTACACCGTGGTTTTACTTTGAATTTTCATGATGTCTAATGGTTTTCCTGTGGTTATTGGCAATTTGTATATTTTCTTTTATGAGTTATCTGTTTAAATTTTTGCTCATTTTTAAAATTGGGGTTTTGACTTTCTGGAGCCAAGATGGCTGATTGGATGCAGTGGCAATTGGAGGCCGCCATTGAAAAGAACCATAACAGCATGTGAATCCTGCACTAGCAACTAAGGTATCCAGGTTCTGCCATCAGAACTGAGTGGGACTCTGTCTCAAAAAAACAAAAACAAATAAACAAAAAAAAAACAAAGGCTGGGCATGGTGTCTCATGCCTGTAATCCTAGCACTTTGGGAGGCTAGGCATGTGGCATGACCCATGGAGAGGAAGGGAGAGCAGTGTTGTGCAGCAGCCCACCTGAGAGCCATGCAGGGCAGAGGATCCCCCAACCCCTATCCAGGGGAGGTGGTGAGTGAGCGTGCTACCCAGCCTGGGAAAACATGCTTTTTTCCATGGAACTGTGCAACCCATGGATGAGAAGATCCCACTTGTGAGCCCATGCCACCAGGACCTAGGATTCCAGCCATGGAACTGTGCAGATTTTCAACAGCCACTAAGCTAGAATCAGCTTAAGTCTGCCCAGCTCCCGGGGGAAGGGGTGACCAGCACCACAGCTATAGCTGCCTGCTGTCTAAGCCTTTTGAGCTCCTTGCAGGAGGGGTGACTGCCAACACTGGGACTGATAGCTGCCTAACATACTAACTTCCCACAGCAGAGAAGGGCAGCAGCCATCTCTATAGCTTCAGGCTGTGCTTTTCTCCTGCTGGAGCTGGGATGGCTGGACTGCATGGTCCCAAGTGGTATCCCCCACAGACGAACATACTGGCTCTGGCAGACTGTTGACAGAGTGCCTCTTCAGGCCTAACCCTGACCCATCCCACTTCACTGGGTGGAGCTTTCCTGCAGGAATTCCAGCATCTCCAGCCAGGGGCTCAGGGACAGAACTCTGATCTCTCTGGGCCTGAGCCCCTAGAGGGAGGAGGGGTGGGCATAGTCTCCAGTCAGCAGACTTAGTCATTCCTCCTGCTAGTTCTGAGGAATCCAGGCAGCCTGGATGTGTGGGTTTCTCTTCAGCAAAGCACACTCCCTCCACCAAGGGATAGTCAAAGTGCTTTGTTAAGTGGGTCCTGCTCCCCCTGCCACCCAACTAGGTAAGACCCTCCAATGGGTTGTCAGATACGCTATACAGGAGCATTCCTACTGGCATCCAGTTGGTGCCCCTCGAGGTCAGACATCCCATAGGAAAGATCAGGCATCCATCTTTGCTGTTCTCTGGCCTCCTTGAGTGACATTTTCAGGCACAGGAGTGAACCAGATGAATAGGGCCTGAAGTGAACCCACAGAAAACTGCAGAAGTCCTACAAAAGAGGGACCTGCCCATTGCATGGAAAAGAAGGCAACACTACCATCATTGACAAAAAAGTCCCCACAAAAACCCTATTCAAGGATCTGCACCCTCAAAGATTGATAGTAGACAAGTTCATGAAGATGAGAATCAATGAAAAAATGCTGAAAACCCAAAAGGCCAGAGTGCCTCTTCTCCAATGATTGCAACACCTCTCCAGCAAGGGCACAGAACCTGAGGGAGAATGAGATGGACAAATTGAGAGAACTAGCCTTCAGAGGGTGGGTAATAACAAACTCTGCTGAGCTAAGGGAGCATGTTCGAACCCAATGCAAAGAAACAGAGAACCTTGATAAAATGTTGCGGGAGCTGCTAACTAGAATAACCAGTTTAGAGAGGAATATACATTACCTGATGAGCTGAAAAACACAGCATGAGGACTTCATGACGCATATACACGTGTCAATAGCTGAACTGACCAAGCAGAAGAAAGGATATCAGAGTTTGAAGGCCATTTTGCTGAGGTAAGACACATAGACAAGATTAGAGAAAAATAATGAAAAGGAACAAAAAAACCTCTGAGGATTATGGTACTATGTAAAAAGACCAAACCTATGATTGATTGAAGTACCAGAAAGAGACAGGAATAATGGAACCAAGTTGGAAAACACACTTCAGTATATTATCCAGGAGAGCTTCCCCAACTTAGCAAGACAGGCCAACATTAAAGTTCAGGAAATACAGAGACCACCGCTAAAATCCCTAAAATCAACCCCAAGACACATAATCATCAGAGTCTCCAAGGTTGAAATGCAGAAAAAATGTTAAGGGCAGCCAGAGAGAAAGGCCAGTTCACCTACAAAGGGAAGCCCATCAGACTAAGAGAGGACCTCTCAGCAGAAAGCCTAGAAGCCAGAAGAGAGTGGGGGCCAATATTCAACATTCTTAAAGTAATTTTCATATCCAGCCAAGCTAAGCTTTATAAGTGAAGGAGAAATAAAATCCTTTCCAGACAAGCAAATGCTGAGGGATTTCCTTACCACCAGGCCTGTCTTGCCAGGAGATCCTGAAGGAAGCATTAAATATGGAAAGGAAAAATCAGTACCAGACACTGCAAAAACATACCACAACATAAAGACCAACGACTATGAAGAGATTGCATTAACAAATGTGCAAAATAACCAGCTAGCATCATGATGGCAGGATCAAATTCACACATAATAATAATATTAGCTTAAAATGTAAATGGGCTAAATGCCGCAATTAAAAGACACAGACTGGCAAATTGGATAGTCAAGACCCATAGGGGTACTGTATTCAGGAAACCCATTTCATGTGCAAAGACATGCATTGGCTCAAAATAAGCAAATGGAAAACCAAAAAAAAAAAAAGTGGGGGTTGCACTCCTAGTCTCTGATAAAATAGACCTTAAACCAATAAAGATAAAAAAATACAAAGAAGGGCATTACATAATTGTAAATGGATCAGTGCAACAAGAAGAGCTAACTATCCTAAATATATATGCCCACCAATAAAGGAGCACCCAGATTCATAAAACAAGTTTTTAGAGACCTGCAAAGAGGCTTAGACTCATACACAGTAACAGTGGGAGACTTTAACACTGCACTGTCAATATTAGATCAACAAGACACAAAATTAACAAGGATATTCAGAACTTGAACTCAGCTCTGTATCAATAGATACCTACAGAACTCAGCACCCTGAATCAACAGAATATATATTCCCTCAGTGCCACATGGCACTTATTCTAAATTTGACCACATAATTGGAAGGAAAACAATCCTCAGCAAATGCAAAAAAAAAAAAAACCCCAAAACAACAAAAAAAACTGAAATAAAAACAGACCACAGTGCAATCAAATTAGAACTTAGGATTAAGAAACTATCCCAAAACCACACAGCAAATCAATAAATGTAATCCATCACATAAACAGAATGAATGGCAACAACCATGTGATCATCTTAACAGATGCAGAAAAGGCCTTTGGCAGAATTCATTCGTGTTAAAAGCTCTCAATAAACTAGGTATTTATGGAACATATCTCAAAATAGGAGCCGCTTATGACAAACTCACAGCCAATATCATACTTAATAGGCAAAAGCTGGAAGCATTCCCTTTGAAAACCAGCACAAGACAAGGATATGCCTTGTCACTCCACTCCTATTCAGCATAATATTAAAAGTTCTGGCCAGAGTAATCAGGCAAGAAAAAGAAGCAAACAGTATTCAAATAGGAAAAGAGGAAGTCAAATTGTCTCTCTGCAGATTATGTGATTCTTTATTTAGAACATCCCTCATCTCAGTCCCAAAAGTGCTTAAGCTGATGAGCAGCTTCAGCAAAGTCTGAGAATACAAAGTCAATGTGCAAAAAGCAATCTTTATACACCAACGATAGAGAAGCAGACAGCCAAATCATGGGTGAACTGACACTCACAGTTGCTACTAAAAGAATAAAATACCTATTGATATAGCTAACAAGGGATGTGAAAGAGACCTCCTCAGGAGAACTACAAACCATTACTCAAGGAAATAAAATACTATGAAAAAAAAAAAAGAAAATGAAAAAACATTCCATTTTCATTGATAGCAAGAACTAGTATTGTAAAAATGGCTATGCTGCCCGAAGTAAGTTATAGATTTGGTGCTATTCACATCAAACTACTATTGGCATTCTTAACAGAATTAGAAAAAAACAGTTGAAATTTTATATGGAACCCAGAAAGAGCCCATATAGCCAAGATAATCTTAAGCAAAAATAACAAAAATGGAGGCATCATGCTACCTGACTTCATACTGCAAGGCTACAGTAATCAAAACAGCGTGGTACTGGTACCAAAACAGACATATAGACCAATGGAACAGAATAGAGACCTCAGAAATAACACCATACATCTAAAGCCATCTGATCTTTGACAAACAAGACAAAAACAAGCAATAAGAAAAGGATTTCCTATTTAATAAATTGTGCTGGGAAAACTGGCCAGCCTTATGAGGAAAACTGAAACTGGACCCCTTCCTTACACCTTATACAAAAATCAACCCAAGATGGATTAAAGAGTTAAAAACCCCAAACCATAAAAACTCTAGAAGAAAACCTAGGCAGCGCCATTCAGGACATAGGCATGGGCAAAGACTTCATGACAAAAATGCCAAAAGCAATTGCAACAATGGCAAAAATTGACAAATCTGATTTAATTAAACTAAAGGGCTTCTGCACAGCATCATGGTAAACGGGCAATCTACAGAATGGGAGAAAATTTTTGCAAGCTACCTGTCTGACAAAGGTCTAATATCCAGAATCTGCAAGGAACTTAAACAAATTTACAAGAAACAACTCATCAAAAAGTAGGCAAAAGATGTAACCCTTCTCAAAAGAAGACATTTATGCTGCCAACAAACATGAAATCTCAACATCACTGATCATTAGAGAAATGCTAGTCAGAACCACAGTGAGATACTATTTCATGCCAGTCAAAATGTGATTATTAAAAAATGAAGAAACAATAGATGCTGGCAAGGCTGTGGAGAAACAGGAATGCTTTTACACTGTTGGTGGTAATGTAAATTGGTTCAACCATTACGGAAAACAGTATGGCATTTCCTCAAGGATACCATTTTCTCAAGAAACACCATTTGACCCAGCAATCCCATTACTGGGTATATACCCAAAGGAATATAAATCATTCTACTATGAAGACACATGCACATATATGTTCATTGCAGCACTGTTTACAATAGCAAAAACATGGAACCAACCCATTGACCAGCCGATCAAAGATAGATGGGATAAAGAAAATGTGGTACATATACACTATGAAATACTTTGCAGCCATAAAAAGGAATGAGATTATGTCCTTTGCAGGCACATGGATGGAGCTGAAAGCCACCATCATCAGCTAACTAACACAGGAACAGAAAACCAAACACTGCATGTTCTCATTCATAAGTGGGAGCTGAACAATGGGAACATGTGGACACAGGGAGGGGAATAACACATACCGGGGCTGTTTTGTGGGGTGGGGGATGAGGAGAAGGAGAGCCTTAGCACAAATAGCTAATGCATGTGGGACTTAAAACCTAGATGACAGGTTGATAGGTGCAGCAAATGACAATGGCACATGTATAACTGTGTAACAAGCCTACTTGTTCTGCACTTGTATCTTGGAACTTAAAGTGGAGTAAAAATAAATTAAAAAATTGGGATTTTTATCTTTTTTTTCTCTTTTTACTGAGTTTCAAGAGTTATTTATATTTTTGGTTAAAAGTTCTTTTTCAGACATATGCATTAACAAATTTTATGCCAACTTCTGGCTTGTTTGTATTTTCTTAGCAATACCTTTGAAAGAGCGAATTTTAAATTTTGATAAATACATTTTTATAATGTGGGCTTTTTGTTTCTCATGTAAAAATCTTTGTCTATTTCCAATGTTGCAAAGTATTTTTTATCTATGTTTTCTCTTAGAAGTTTTGCAGTTTTGGGCTTTACATCTAACTCTCTGGCCCATCTTATGGTCAAGGTCATTTCTACACATTGATTAAAGGAAGGGTCAAAGTTACTTATGCGTTTTTTTCATATCCATATTTAGTTGTTCTATCATCATTTGTTAAAAACATACTTCTTTCCACCTTAAATACCTTGGGTTTTTTTGTCATAAATAAATTAATATACATGGATCTATTTCTGTCCTAATATATTTCCTTGATTTATGTTTATTTTCTAATATCGCATTCTCTTCATTGGTTAACTTTATAATAAGCATTGAAATTAGGTAGCATGATTCCTTTATCTTTCTTCTTTTTCAAAATTTGGATGCTCTGAGTTTTTTGAACGTGCAAGTAAACTTAGAATCTATTTAAAAAAAATTTTTTTGGGTACATAGTAGGTGTATATATTTATTGGGTACCTGAAATGTTTTGATACAGGCTTGCAATGTGTAATAATGACTTCATGGAGAAGAGGGTATCCACACTTCAAGCATTTATCCTTTGAGTCACAAATAATCCAATTATGTCTTACTCAAAATTTAGCTAAAATATATGATTTATTTAAAAGTATACAATTATTGATTGTAGTTACCTGGGGTGCTATAGATCAAATAGTAGATCTCAAATAAGATCAAATAGATCTTATTTCTTTTTTGGGGTACACATTTAATTTATTAATATCTTCAAAAAACTTGCTGGAATTTTTATTGAGATTATTAATTTGAGTAGATTTGACATCTCAAAATACTGTTTCTTATGAACCGTGAACATACTATATCCCTCCATAAATATGTCTTCTTTAATTTCTCTCATAAATATCTTAGTTTTCAGTATACTGGTTTTGTACATATTTTGTTAAATTTACTATAATTTCCTAGTTTTTCTACTGTTTTAAAGGGTGTTGCTTTACATTTTAATTTCAAAAATTGTTCTGTTAGTACAGAGAAAAACAACTGAATTTTCCTTGGTCTTACATTCCTGAGTCTTGCTGAATTATCCTAGTAGCACTTTTTGTAGAGTGTTTAGGATTTTCCATGTGCAATTAAGTCTTATACAAATAAAGACACTTTTAATTCTTTCCTTACTGTCTTAGGCTTTTAGATAATTTTTCTTGTCTGTACGGTTTCGTGCTCTTAGTATATTACAAATTAAGAACAGTGAGAGTGAACATCCCTCTTTTGTTTAAAGTCTTAGGAGAAAAATCGTCTTTTAATGTTACATTAGTTGTAGATTTTTTTGCATGTGTCTTTGATCAAGGTGAACAAATTCATTTCTGCCACTGTTATTTTGAGAGTTTCACCATGATTAGATGTTAATTTCTGTTACATGCCTTTTCTGCTATGTTTTTATTTTATCAATATAATGAATTGTATTGATTTTTTGAATGTTAACCAATTTTATATTCAGTCTACTAGCTCACATTGTATTCTTCTGTTTCTTGGTTCAGTTAGCTACAATTTTGATAAATATTTTTATGTTTGTGAAAAATATTTGTCCATATATTTTTTGATTGCCTATTAACTTGTCTGTTTTTATTTGACTTTTTTTTTTTTTTAAATCAGGGTAATACTAGCCTCATCAAATGAGTCAGGGAGTGTTTTCTTCATTATTTTCTAAGAGAGTTTGTGTGGGAATATATTGATGTTAAATTTTCCCTTTAAATATTTGAAGTAATTCAAGAGTTAAGATATTAGAGTCTGGAGTTTTTGTTATAAAGATGTTTTAAGTTACCAATTCATTTTAATACATGTAAGCCTATTTCTATTTCTTAAATCAATGAATGTATCTACTTTACCTTAGTTATGCAATTAAGTAGCAAAAAATTATTCACAACATTATTTAAAAATATCTGTAAGGTCTATATTCATTGTTTTCATTAGTGATATTTTTAGCTCCTGACAACTCTTTTTTCAGTTTCAGTCTACATAGAAGTTTCTCAATTACAGTTGATCCTTGAACAGTGCAAGGGTTTTTATGGCTGTTATTTGGTATGTTTTTCTCAATTCTTTTGCTTTGAAAATAAGACTTTAGGTATAAGAAACATTTTTTGCAGATAACAAGTAATTGTGTCTTTCAAAAAATTTGTAACATTGTCTGTATTTTAATCAATATATTTTAGACTATTAACATTTAAACTGATTAGTAACACAATTCATTTAATGTCCACCCCCTTTTTATGGTTTTCTGTTCTTTGTATTTGTTCTTTTTCTGCCTTCTCTGCTACTGAGTGTTTTATATGATTTCATTTTATCTCCTTTCTTAGCATATCATTTATACTTAAAATAATTTTTAGTGAGTTTTCTCCTCTGTGTAATCATGCATATTTTAATATAAGATCCGTTTTTAGGAAATACTGTACTGCTTCACATGTAGTATAGGTAGCTTAGAACAGAGTTATCAAAATCTCTTTATTCCAACCTTTGTGATATTATTGTCACATTTCATTTATCTGTATGTTTAATTACCTAGTATATTGTTAGAATTCATACTTTAAACAGTTATGTTTTAAATCAATTTACAGTAAGAAAAGTAAAAAAATTTATTTCTTCTTCCTTACTTTATGTGGACCCGATACCTAATCTATATAATTTTTCTTCTACCTCAAAAAATTGTTTTAACATTTCTTACAAGGTAAGTGTGCCGGAAATTATTTATCTCAGATATTGTTTATCTGAAAAAATACTTTTCCTTAACTTTTGATGAAATTACTCAACATTTTGTTGAGTAATTTTGTGTTAGATCTAGAAGTGTAGGTTGCTGGCTTTAAAAATATTTTAAATATTTTACCAATTTTTTTCTTGCATGTTTCTGATGGAAAGTCTACCATAATTTTTTTGTTTGTTCTGTAGGTAAGTTACCTGGAGAACAGGGCTTTTTAAATGGAGAAGGGACTGGGTATATTTTACAGTGATTACTCTTCCCTTCTCTTTATGAGAGCCATAATGAGATCTTCTGGTAGTATTCCTGAAAGTAAAGCCCATGAGAGTGGAAGGTTTCTTAACACTGCATTCCCTAGGAGTTTCTCATTCTTAACAATAACTCAAATGCAAACCCCAGCAACTTGTCAAAATTTAAGGGTTCATAGCTCTACATCTTCTGCTGTGTGTAAGGAGACATCAGATGTGCCTGTGTTTCTTGAAATTGAGGTAGTAGTTTGCCCTGCAACCTGAGGTGTCTAGTGGGTTCAAGAAAAGTCATTGTATAATTCATCCAATATCAGACCACCAAAATACATCCAGGAAATATTCATAAATGTGAAG